TGAAAGTTTGACAGATAATGAGGGGTTCGTGGATTTTCCTGTGTTTCGAGGGGTGCATCGATTAACTTGGGACCGAAGATAGTACCAGAGCTGAGCCAAAAAGTTGAGCTCGTTTCTTCGGAACCTTCTGGTCTTAGAGTTACCTCTATGGTAATATTGAGTGCTTTAGACCTAATTGGCGACTCCCAAGTATTGGGCCCTTCAATTATTACGCAAGCATTTGAGGGGAGGAGGGTTTGAATTCAAAGCAGTTCGGAATAGTTCTAACATTAGTGACAATTTGATTAACACTTGACGCAATCCAAAATTCCTGAAATGATTCCTATCATTTTGTATTTTATTATAGGAAATGCATTCCTATCATCTGACATCTTACAAAATATTAATTGATATTAGATTTGCATGTGCTGAATTTTCAATGCTTGAATTTCTTTTTTGGTTTTCAATTTTTCTAGATGGTTTTTTTTTTCATTTCCAGGTTGTCTCGCCGTTGTTCCTGAAGTTGTTGGGCGTGGGCTGCTAGGATTTTCATTATTCGCTTAGAAATTTTCTTTTGTAGTCAGCCATATCGTCGAGCTTTTTCGCTTGAATTTTCAAAACTTCCAACAGATGTGGAAATTCTGCTGCTGTTCAACTTGCGTTTCCAGCAATCTCAAACTCCGCTGACCAGGTTGTCTTCGGCGGATGGGCTCTTCGTGAACTTCAACTTCAGATAATTCGTTGACGTGATCATGGCCCACAAATGAACCATTCGCTAAACCACTATTATTTTCGTCCGCCGCTGGAGGAGCCCCAAACGCAATAGAATCATCTATACCATCTACGGCTGCGGTGAGCCCATTCAGAGCGATAACCCTTTCTTCAAGCGAGGTCAATTCGACTATCTTGTTGGGGCCGCCCCCTTCGATTGTTGTCCAACCTCCGTTTCAAGTTTGACTTCCAGTCAAACCAGACCTAAAATGTTAACTTGAAAATTAGGATATGATTGATTTTTTTAATTATTTCATTTACCTGTTTCCATGCAGCAGGATCTTTTTAAGGACCACCAAGGCTGTTTTTAAATCTTCAGCTAGCAAACGATTAACGTACCCCGTTCTAGTCGAAATTCTAGTACTACGCAATGTTTGTTTTGATTCGCTATGAAAGTTTGACAGATAAAATGAGGGGTTAGTGGTTTTTCCTATGTTTCGAGGGATGAATCGATTAGCTTGGGACCAAAGAGAGTACTAGAGCTGAGCTAAAAAGTTGAGCACGTTATTTCGGGACCTTCTAGTCTTAGAGTTACCTCTATGGCTCTACCAAGGCATGTGCTCTTGGTGACAATTATTTGCAGCGTCGAATTACGCGCGCATGCTTTTAGCTTTTAGCACGAGTTTCGGCAAGTCGTCACGAAACGCGACTCAAATTACATCAGCCTTAGGACTGGCAAATAACTACTCCGTGGCGCCCTCACCGGACGCCACTCCACAAAAAAGATAAAGGCTTGGTTGACTCACCAGATGATGGATGGAAGAAGCTTACGTGGGTTTCTGCCAACGGTCACAGTCGATGACCGGTCGGCGGGTTCGACGCACTCGGTGTCGCGTTCGATGACCGCGTAGAAAGCGTTACCCATTTGATAACGGTGGCAAACGGCGGTTCGGCGTTTCACACGCCGATACGATGGCGGTTACTATTAGAGATGGGCGATCCGCTCCCGAGCTGTTCTAAACACCCGATTCACTAAAGTGAGCTGATGACCCGCGGTTCTTTTTTTAGGAATTTAGCTGACTTTAATTAATCGGGTCTATAGAACATCTCGAGTGCCCATCTCTAGATTTGAGCTGATGATCTGGAGCTGAAGCCGAGAATAGTGGGAGCAATTGTGCTGGAGAATCAAGGTGGATTCCGTCCTGAGCGATATTTCACGCGAGGGGCGAGATTTTGCGAATGTACGAGAGGGAGAGAAGTACTAGTTGTCTCTCCCATTCCAACGTAAATTCTGCTCCGCTCCTTTAATGCACGCTCATATTTGAATACACCATTGGACTTATGATATCAGTGAGCTGATGAGCTGCGGTTCCTAAAAATGACCCGCGGGTCATCAGCTGACTTTAATGAATCGGGTCTAAAGAACAGCTTGGGACTCCATCTCTAGATCTGAGCTGATGATCTAGAGCTGAAAGCGAGAATAGTGAGAGCAAATCTGCTGAAGAATTAACATCAGAAATGAAATCTGTATTGCTGGATTGCATAGCTTGAGAAAAGGCGAAACATCGTGTAATACGATGTCGATCATATCATCGCATGTGACAAATGTGTCAAAATTTCTATAATTTAAAGGTGAGCTAAAGAGCTGTTCAAAAGAATCGACTCCCTTTAATCAGCTGGACGGGTCTGATCCGCTCAGCCAGATGAGCTAGTTTGCCTACTAACGGACATGAACAAACGTGCACACTTCTAAATTGGTGTAAAGTCACGGACGAAATGATCGAGCCTGTGAATCCTCAGATTAAGGAAATGTCAGACTCGGACGGACCGGAAGTCCATCTTTTCCCGAAACCAATCGTGTACTTTCGTGAGTCCAAAGACACGAAAGATAACTTGGCCGATAGAAGTGCCGTTGTCCCTTTCCTACCTTATCCATAAATTAAATGGACCCGTCTTAGGAAAGATTTCAGCATAAAAATGCTTTTGTATTCCTACTGCCTACCCTAAGAAATGTAATTCATATAATTTAAACCTATTAAATTATATACAAACTCATACAAAATTCCAGATCGTTACAAAAGGTCAGCAACAATCATCAAATTACAATCGAGGGGCGCGAATATAGTACTTATTACAAAAATAAAATTCATAGTATTTGCACTAATTATGTTTAGCATATTACATGAAAATTTGTCTGACGTGTCACTGTTTTCAACAAATAAAATAATATGCTGAAATAAATACATTTAAATATTATACAAATTTTAATTTGTTTACCCCTCGTGAAGATAAACAAATACATTGGTAGCTTTTTTGACCACAAATGTGCTTCCATCGCTAAAAATTTGGTTCGCCAGCTAAGTGAACAAGTGGATCATATTGTTAATATATTATATTCGATTTAAGTTAGAACCTTCATTTCTAGATTTCAATCCAATATAAAAGTTTAAAGTGTAAGCATGTTAATCATTATGTCCTGGTGATCATACTTCAAAATAAATTGCTATTAGTCATGGAAAACTGGATGAATTCTCAAAAAAAAACTGGAAAATTTTAAATATTAACTGCTTGACTGGATGCGTCAAAAAAAACTGGAATGTTGGCATCACTGCTCTGTTCATCATAATTCATAATACACGATAAAAAGAAAATCGTTATATTTTTTAAAAATTACCGTAAACAATTCGCGCTATTAAATTGAATTTCGACTGAATGTTCAAATCCGCGACAAATTCCCGAAAATCGTGAAATCCACGCCTACTTATCTTTCATGACTTCAATTTGCTCTTTAATTAGGGCGTTCGACTGTAAAAACTACGTTCATACGAATGAATTTCTGACTTTTTTCCGTCATTTCTCCCTTGGTTTAAGGATTCCCTACTTTTTCCGCATTTCACGTTCGGTAGGCCGTCCTACGATGAGGTCAGCGCAGCCAACATTGAAATAAAAAAAAAACACTCTGCATCACCCAGTTTAAATGTATATCGCACAACCGAGAAAATTTCCAATATTCCAGGAAAACAACAAGAGTAACTGTTCACACACATCGTTGGATTTCCGGCGGATTGTGCATATTTGAGAACTATTTTCGAATCTGGTTGAATTCAGGTTCAGATGGTTCCAGAATCAATAATTGTTTAAGAACATGCACCATCTCACCCAGTAATCGGGCTGAATTTATTTATTATTATTCAAAAACACCAATCTGACGTTACCTCACGATCCACTGCCGAACCGATGATGTACAATTAACGCCGTTTACATAAATCAATTCCAAACAGGTCAAAATATTTGATAACATAATCCTCACCACCTTATTCGGTTGACTGCTTTTAGAATGCATTCGGAAGGTTGAGTGCATGCAATTGAGATGTTCAACAGTCGAAAGTTTCTCCATAATCAGCCCCAAGCCGTGTGTCGGCCCTGTCAATCACTATTTGGTCCCGATCATTCGGACCGGTGAAAATAACTTCTAAAAATAGAGCTCCCTAGTCAGCCTCCACCACCGACGCTGGCCGTGTGCACTCTCTGCTTGCTGAAGCTGATAACAAAGTCACATTTACTTTCATACATTTCAAGTTCATGATCACTGCAAACTTCGTACAGCCGAAATCACGGGACACGGTCGTGATCCTGGGTTAACCATCGCGGCAGTGGCTGGGATGTGAGGCGTGGAACTACCCACATAGTGGGGGTGTTTGTCTCGTTTTCATCATCATTCATTGGATAGCTCTGGAGCAGATCGGTCCTGAGCGCCTTCTCTTCCTGTTGTCAATAGGCACCAGGATCCACAACAGGGTTTTCAGAATGGTCGGGCGATAAGCCCTGGTCCAAAGTACATGATAACTCTATGTCTCTCCGGGTGTTTCAGCCCTTGTCAGTTCCACTGTATTCTTTTGCCACTTGTGTGTTTGTGTCTTGGCAAGATTATTGCTAGCGTTCAGAATAATAAAGGCCTAGCTGCAATGATCGATTCTCTTTCGCTACTAACTAGGTGGGATTAACATTTCTCGGTGCGTTGGATGCTTCAACAATCTCATACTATATTGTTCAGGAAATTGGTTCACTCAACAGCAGTAATGCAAAGAGAAAATCAACGCAGACAATCGATCATCGCCGTGAGGTCCTTATCGTTCTGAACGCTAGATTTTATTATTGAACAATATTACACTTCGATTCGGTGTTCAAACGGTATCAACTGCCGTCCGTCCCACACACTTCCACCTATGAGGATTCGTCCCATCGCGATCGTCGTTCGGTAGCGCCATTATCGCTTTCCCTTTTCCAAGATTTTAAATAGGAACTCGCCGGCCGGAGCTCATTTAGTCTTGTATTGATCGTCGAACTACCGACTGTGGTCGTGATTGCGCGCGAATTCAACCATTCTTTGTGTTGGGTCCAGTTGTTCTCCTCTGCGCTGAAACCTACTGAGATCCCTCCGATTTTGTGATGTGCTGAAAACCGGAAATCATTTCCCAAATCGAATACCAAAATACAGTGAGAAATTGGAACATTTCTGAAGCGAAGAGAGCTAAGCGATCGACCATGCCTTCCGCCGGCAAGGATAATATGATGGGTCCTTGGGGCCGCAGCGAAAGCAGCGGAAGCATGTTTCTGTCCAACAACAACAATGCGGATAATCTGGTGAAGTTGTTCTCGCGAACTGCTCCGACCAGTCCGCGCTGGACTCCGGTAGCTTCCCGGCACAATTCACCGCCGATGCCGAGTTCCCCGCTGTCGTCATCGCCACCGTCGACTCTACGCAGGAACTATTCCAGCACCTTTATGCTGATCCCGGAAGACCGTGCCGTGGATCAGGTTTCGGTGACCGAATCAGCAGCATCGGCACCGCACCAGGATGATCCTGCTTCCAAGTACCGCATATCCAACGGTCGGATTATACTCCGCTTGGTCCTGTGGTGGCCGCTGCTGATGATTGCCATCGCTCAACGGATTCTCGGAGTACTGATGCAACTGTCCTGGCGTCCGTTTCTGATGGCAGCTCCTGCCTTTTGGCTGTCGGCCTGTCTTTGGATGTTCTGGAAGGTGATCGCCTTGCCCCTGGCTTGCCTAAAATGGGTTCTGGTTGCTATGCATACCCCGGCCCACGAGCGCAACCGCAAGAAGCGAACCATCCTGATCAGCTGCGGAAGTACCATCCAGTCGCTACATTTGGCACGGAATTTCTACAAATCCGGAGCACGGGTTGTCGTGTTCGAATTCGAAGGACTGTTCGCGCTGGCTAGGTTTTCCACTGCCGTGAGCAAATTCTACACGATCCAACGGCCGACTCCGGAAACGTCCAACGAATACATTGCGGCTCTGTGCGAAATCGTCGAAAAGGAACAGCCTACCCACTACATTCCGGTATGTGCAACAAGTGCCGCTCACTACGATGCCCTGGCGAAACCGCATCTGGAACTGCGAGGTTGCTCCAGTTTCATTCCCGGAGCGCAGGAAACCTCAGTGCTGGACGACATCCTTCAGGTGATGAAGAAATGCGAGTTGAACCAGATTGCCTTACCTCCGCATCAGGTAATCAACTGCAAGGAAGATTTGAACCGGCTGTACGAGAATGGGTGGCTTTCCGGATATCGCAACGTGATGGTTTCTTCCGGATTGCTGGGAATTTTGGAACGCACCAAGTACATTCTACCGATGAATCGTCGTGATCTTAAGCTAAACTACGAGATCAGTGAGATGCAGAAGTGGGTGGTGATCAGGGACGTGATCGGAGCACAGTACGTAACCTGCACTACGGTTAAGGATTCCCAAGTGGTGGCGAACGTGACCTGCATCATTCAGAACGATACGCGGAGCTTGGTACCGGAGGAAAACGTCGAGATAGAGACCTGGTTGAGAGAGTTCTTTCGGAAGATCCGGCTCCAGCGCCCACTGAATGGTCACATCAGCTTTCGCCTGGCCAAGTGTCAATCCAGTGGTGAGGTCGTTCCGCTGGGCATACGAGTCGGAGTGTCGCTTCCCTACATCTGCTACACGGGTGTCCACTCGAAGGTCATCTGCAAGCCGTGTCCACACTTCAAGCGGCAAAACTCCGGACCACTGGTGCAGGACGGAGGACGCTATTGGATCCACGAAACCGTCATGAAGGCGATTCGTCGGCCCAGCGTGGATGCCGTCCAGCAGCTGATCGGGACCGTCATCGACAAGCGGGAAGCCCTGTTCGTATACTGGGATCCGCTGCCGTACTGTGCCTACTACCACTTCCAGCTGCCGTTCAACTCGGTCAAAACGTTCCTGCACAAACGGCAGCGAACACGAACGATGCCACGTGCCGCTGCGCCGGTGCAATAGGCCACGAGCCGGACGAATGATCCCGCGCAGTTCCACGCGTGTTATCAGTGTCGATTCGTTGAGTTGTTTTAAGAATATTTCTTCCAATACTCGATTATGGTTTTATAATATTATTTTCTGAACGGAGAGAGAAGCAATAGACTTGCGATGATAAGTGATGTTTTGATGAGTGAGCGAATGAGTGGGACTTAGACTTAGGATCCGGATTCTAGTTTTTAGTGCGGTGTAGAAATCTACTTATATGCATTAAGCAGGCTTTGACATGAGGAATTTTTGGCTCTGTTGCTGGGCAACGGATGGTTCGAAAAAAAATGGTTGATACAAACGTAAGAGATTTAGCAATGTAAGGGTCTAACCAAAAATGTACATAATTTATAATGGCAAGTACAAATTAAATAAAGAATGTTTTTTTTTCAATCAAACCTCACTGGACTGCATCGTTTTCTGCGAAGAGGAAAGAAATTGTGTCACAGACTATCTATATGCTGCTGATGGGCTGCCAAGGGATTTGCGGATTTGCGTCATGCTCGTCAATACTTGTCCGGGGCTGCGTTTGGGACGAGGGGATTGCACGTCAAACTGATATCGATTGTGTTTGTATGTGTGTGGCTTTTGCACACCACAGGAGAACAACAACCTTGAGGTTATCGACAAAGGTCCATAATGCCACGCCGCGCACTGCTGCCATTAATCAGCGGTGCCCATTTTGGGTCCGAGGTCGATGGGACTGTTCAGAATGCATCGGTAACTAATTTACGGTTACTGCGGTTGGCAATGATCATACAATGATGACTTTCTTTGACAGTCGTTGAGGTAATTTTAATACGAGATTAACTTGGGAAGACTTTTGCATCCCTTTTGCTCTGTAACGTAATCAGCAGAGAATGTTCTCGACGAACATTTCAAATAGTCCTTTCTGCTTTGATCTTTGATTCCCTTCATCGCCTTTCTCTGTCGTTAATAAATCGGCTGTTAAAACATCCTGAATAAAAAAATACCATACCCGAACGATAACCCAAATGATATAACGATTACACAAATTGTTTGGATTATACCCTGAATACGTCGTTAAGCAAAATAACCATACACATTTTATTAGGGATTCCTTGTTGTGTTTGACGTTTCGGACTCTAGATGATAACCTCCTTCATCGAAAATGAGCGTGTGTGTGTTGCAAAAAAACGCGATATAAGTTTGTGTAACCGTGGTTGTCAAAAGAGAAAGTCCATGAAGAGAATCGATAAAAGCAGATAGGACCTTCTGAAGAATGCATCTAGAATTTTGTGAATATCATGACAAGTTCGTTTTTGCTGTCTTTTTCATTGCACGTTCCCGTCTCTTACGAGCGGCACACAATAGGTCTCTTCCCAAACTTGATTTTTTGCTTTTACTGTAGGTTGCTGCAGCTTTCTGTAAGTAAGTTTTTTCTGTACAGAATCTTACAGAAAAGTAAGTACGGGAACAGAACTAATCCATTCGAATCTGATGTATGTTAGCGGTAAGTCTGACAGTTAAACAGCAGCAGCGGAAAAGTTCAATTGGTCCCGGCCCATATGTTGATGGGTTCGATAAGACTCCATGTGTGCATTCGATTGCCGTTATCAGTATTCCAGATTTATATGGATTTTCCAGGTTTTTATCATTTTGCCAGATACACCGAAATAGTACGTCAATTTCCAGATTTTTAAATATGTTCCCAGATTCTTAAACGATTTAATATTTGATCGCTGTTCTTCAGTATCACTTGTTGTTGAATGAACCTTTTAGTCAAGGATATTTTTGACACAGATTGTGCTGTTGGATTCGTAGTAAGTAATAAAAATTCCGATATAGAACTACTCTGAAGTTCTCCTCAGAACTACTCTGAAGTTCTCCTCAAAACTACTCTGGAGTTCTCATCAAAACTACTCTGAAGTTCTCGTCAGAACTACTCTGGAATTCTCCTTAAAAATACTCTGAAGTTCTCCTCAGAACTACTCTGAAGTTCTCCTCAGAACTATCTGAAGTTCTCTTCAGAACTACTCTGAAGTTCTCCTCAGAACTACTTTGAAGTTCTCCTCAGAACTACTTTGAAGTTCTCCTCAGAACAACTCTGAAGTTCTCCCCAGAACTACTCTGCAGTAGTTCTCCTCAGAACTACTCTGGAGTTCTCCTCAAAACTACTCTGGAGTTCTCCTCAAAACTACTCTGAAGTTCTCCTAAAAACTACTCTAAAGTTCTCCTCAAAACTACTCTGAAGTTCTCCTCAGAACTACTCTGAAGTTCTTCTCAGACCTACTCTGAAGTCCTCCTCAGAACTACTCTGTAGTAGTTCTTCTCAGAACTACTCTGGAGTTCTCATCAAAACTACTCTTAAGTTCTTCTCAGAAATATCTGAAGTTCTCTTCAGAACTACTTTGAAGTTCTCCTCAGAACTACTCTGAAGTTCTCCTCAGAACTTCTCTGCAGTAGTTCTCCTCAGAACTACTCTGGAGTTCTCCTCACAACTACTCTGAAGTTCTTTTCAGAACTACTCTGGAGTTCTCCTCAAAATTACTCTGAAGTTCTCCTAAAAACTACTCTAAAGTTCTCCTCAAAACTACTCTGAAGTTCTTTTCAGAACTTCTCTGAAGTTCCCCTCAGAACTACTCTGAAGTTCTCCTCAGACCTACTCTGAAGTCCTCCTCAGAACTACTTTGAAGTTCTCCTCAGAACTACTCTGAAGTTCTTCTCAGAAATATCTGAAGTTCTCTTCAGAACTACTCTGAAGTTCTCCTCAGAACTACTTTGAAGTTCTCCTCAGACCTACTCTGGTCCTCCTCCTCCTCTGCAGTAGTTCTCCTCAGAACTACTCTGGAGTTCTCATCAAAACTACTCTGAAGTTCTTCTCAGAAATATCTGAAGTTCTCTTCAGAACTACTCTGAAGTTCTCCTCAGAACTACTTTGAAGTTCTCCTCAGAACTACTCTGAAGTTCTCCTCAGAACTACTCTGCAGTAGTTCTCTTAAGAACTACTCTGCAGTAGTTCTCTTAAGAACTACTCTGAAGTTCTCCTCAGAACTACTCTGAAGCTCTCCTCAGAACAACTCTGGAGTTCTCCTCAAAACTACTCTGAAGTTCTTTTCAGAACTACTCTGGAGTTCTCCTCAAAACTACTCTGAAGTTCTCTTCAGAACTACTCTGAAGTTCTCCTTAAAACTACTTTGAAGTTCTCCTCAAAACTACCCTAGATCTTCGGTGAAGTTTTCAACAATTTCCTGAAATTCCCCCCGGAGATGAACGTCTGACTGAAAATCTCCTTAATAAAGACAACCAACCAACCAACATAAACTTTGCTGAGATCTCAGTATAAATAAATGCCGAGCCCCGCTCGGTGGTGTCAATCTCGGCAAAAATCTAAGTGTGTAGGAAGACTTCCAAGGTAGTTGTTAGAAAAGCCCCAGGTGAATTAAGGATAATTCAGAATTGAATTCATTGGATGATCAATTCGCCTCAGACCATGACGATTGTGAAAAGCATTCCTAGTCCATTTCGAGTGAATATTACAAATAAGTTCTGAGATGAATTTCTTGAGTTCTGATGATAATTGCTAGGAAATTCCGATTGAATTCTGAGGATGGTTATTCTAAAAACAACTTCAAGTGAAGTCTGACGAGAATTTCAATGGAATTCTGAGAAGGATGCCGAGGGCTCAATTTCAAAGAAATTCCGCGAGATTTTTAAGGAACTTTCGATGTTGATTCCAAGGGCATTTAGAGAAGAATATAGATAATGCTGAGTAGAATTTCAATACCTTTCTGAGGTACATTACATGAAAGTTCTATTGAGAATTCAAGCGAATTTTAAATAAATTCGATGCAAATCTTAGGACGAATTCCATTTGTTAGGATTTGTATAGATTATAAAAACAGATATAAAGAAAAATTGCAAGGGATTTTCCTAATTTATGGTAGAGGAATTCTGAATAGAACTAGGGGAAACAGTCCTATTGTTGCGATATGTTAGAAGCGGTAGGAGCTAGATCACCATACACACCAATATGCTTCTACCGCTTCAGTAAATCTGTTATTTTTTTTATAAAGCTGCAGCAAATGTTTTTTTTTTTTTTGACAACATTATGCTAGTTTTCCAGCAATATTTTTGTTTTCCTCTTATGTAATATTTCATCTGTTTATTTTCGGTTTATTAAATGGTATAAATTAACGCAATACCTACACCAAGGCACAACAATTTCACAAGATCGCACCTCATTTAACCCTATCGATGATGCTGTACTGATTCTGCATTAATTCACAAATCGTAATTCCTTTTTCATTTGGTACTGACAATAATTATTAACAGATGACAGTTGAGCAATTAACAACATTAATCAGGTTGCTGCGAGTTTTGAACATTGAGCAACATGAGTTACTCAAAATGAACTCAACATTCTGTCGTGAGGAATAGCTGGTCTTGCTCCAAGACCTACACTATATGTAATGCATCATTCATATTTATTGAATAATTTATTTAAAAACAAAATCGTGGCAAACAGTTGATCTGATTAAATACATCGTTTCGCCACAACGCCATGCGATCTTGCGACTCATTTGAGCGATTCAGGAAGAACATCTTGTGACTAGTATTTCCTAAAATTAGGTGGGAAGTAGGTATACCTTAATTGGAAAAATGATAAATTAGACTTTCTTACTTTATGTTTTCTAGGGTAGTATACGCACGATAAATTTGTTAGAAGAGCACTTCTATTAAAAACAATAAACGCTGGAATGTGAATCTCAAAAACAGATTCCTGTTTTGACAGACAGATCAAATTGGTAGTTGAGCATTCAGTAACATTTTCTGGATTGCTGTATCATTCAGTATAAACCGTATAAACTGCATTTGCTGGAAGCAATTCAGTAATTCCATTTTGCTGAAACTTGATTTAGATTGTTGGTGTAGATAGAACCCAACATCCCTCAAGCTCATCATGAATGGATCATTGAAGATGCTGAGGTTTTGACAGCACCGTACTGTGGCTACCACAGTATTTTACATTGGTTCGTCCGTATACAGTAGCGCCAAATGAAAACTGTGGTGGGTTCAAAACTCAGCCATCTAAAATGATCCATTGGAACTGAAAAGAAATGTTTAGGTATTGGAACATTCATCATTTTGATTTGCACGATCCACATGATTTTTCGTTCAAACTGCTTCTTTGTACTGACAGGCAATCAACAAATTCACTATTTCCACCCCACTCACTAACGGGTTCCATGGTGTAATGGTTAGCACTTTGGACTCTGAATCCAACGATCCGAGTTCAAATCTCGGTGGAACCTACTGGTGTCTTTTTTTGCCAGTGCAAGCTTTTTTTTATCTCCCATCATCACCATTTTACGCAGCTAACCAAGTAAAAATCGATACACATATAGAGCAAATACTCTACAGTTTAATTAACTACGCTACATCACACAATAAAATACCTAGTTGCATAAAAACAGAATAGAACTTCCAACACTGTTCGAGAGCACACATCACAAATGTCTTCGCACAACACAATTGTAACGTTCCGCCTCTAAAATCAACCTCATTCGATGTTTCCTATTGGATCGATAAAGCAGAAAAAGCTTATCATTCCAATTACACACCATCCGTGCATGTGTTTTCTCTGAGGCAACACAACTACCACCACCGCAGCAGTTATATGTCTCCTCTTTTTGAAACAAACAACTTTGACAGTTCCGCGACAGTCGGCGCGTAGAAAATAAGCTTATGATTTTGACACACAATCCGTACCGCACATCCGCCACCGCACCCAACCGACTGATGTGCAGCAGCAGGAGGGCTCCGGATCCCGTCATTAGCACCACAACGACAAGAAGACACAAAAGGAGTAAGCACAAAAGTAGCTACCAGGCGGCAGACCGCGGTGAAGAAGTGAAAGCCCACCACCGGAGAGAGAGAGAGAGCGAGTAAGCGAACCGAGCTTCCCCGCCCCCATTTTGGTTGTCGTTGTCAGTCTAATGTAAACAAACCCGTTGCCAGAAGAAGGAGACACATCTCTTCGATCGGGAACGGAAAATTCGGTTTTTCACCGACCGGAATTGCCCGCAGTCGGCCCCACGGACTATCCGATGGATCTGACAATCTACAGTGATGTGTGAGTGTTTTTCCTGCAGATTCAGCTGTGTATCTGATGTGAAATTTATCAACTTTTTTTTTTCTCTCTTCCTCATTGTATGAAAATGGAATGTCTGGAAAATCGAACAGACCAAATGAGACCCCCGGATCGTATTGTCGGTTTTGCTTCCGGGAAACGGAGCTGGTTCCGATTTTTCACCCGGCAACGCTGGAACCAGTTAATCGGCAACTGCTGGACATCATTCTCGAGTGCACTGACATTCAACTAACAGCGGACAATGATTTCCCATCTTCCGCCTGTCAGAATTGCCTCCAGGTGCTGCAAGAATTCTACCACTTCCGCCGACGTACGAAAGAGTACGACCGGATCATCCGAACGAAAGCGGTGGTCCGAATAGAACCGGAGGTGTTGATCGTTAAGCAGGAACCACTGGAGGATGACACGCTGGAGAGTGTCCGCAGGCAGTACCTTGCCGATAAACAGCTGCAGCAGCAGCAGCAGCGACAGGACGAAGAAGAAACGGAAGAAGCTGACGAGGATGAGCATGACATCGGAAGCAGCAGCAGTACGCTCACTGCCGAGGAAATGCGAGAGGAGGAATTTCAGCATCCTAGCCTTAATGCCATCTTCAAAATTCGCACCATTTCGACCGGTTCGAGTGGTTCCAAATCGACGACGACGACGACCGGGCCGAGCAGCAATCTGGAAGAGAACCGCTGCATGGTGTGCGGCGAAAAATTCTCCACCCGAGAAGCGTGGATTTCGCACCTGCCACTGCACGCAGGCGAGCGACCGTTCCAGTGTCACATCTGCCTGGCGCAGTTCAAAACTAAGTACGTACAGCAGAACCACATCAAAACCGTACATGAGAACATTCGAAGCTACCAGTGCCAAGTGTGCACCGATCCCATCCGACAGTTCAAAAGCAAGCGCACACTGGAGGACCACATGCGTTACCACACCGGGGAACGGCCGTTCCTGTGCACCCAGTGCAATGTGAGCTTCTCGTCGGGAAGCGTGCACCGGAATCACATGTACCGGGTGCACAGGGAAATGCGCAAAAAGGACCGCAAGTGCAGTTACTGTGGGAAGGAGTTCGACCGGATACTGGATCTGAAGCGGCACCAGACCAGCTACTGCGAGAAGATCGTCGGCCGGGCCATGGCCGAGAGGCTTTAGATAGGGATATGAGACGGTTTAGTAGGATAGCGTGCAAATGCACAATGAAAGAATGTGGAGACAAGTGACATACAGTAGCGGAACGGAAGAAGAGGAAAAGCATAAAATTATTATATATTATACTTATATAAATATAGATTTATATTGTAGAGCTAACCCCACGTGAAAAACAAACAAAGATAAAAAGAGTATAATTTTAACTAATAAAGCATTACAATAGTAGATTGTCGTCGATGTACCAAAAAGTAAGTTTATTGTTTTAATTGGTAGAGAATTTACACCGGCGTACTGAGCTAGATAGGATTAGTAACATAGAATTAATCGACTCATGGCACCTGCAAACTACTGTGGGCTGGGCATGTAATTGGGATGCCTTGAGGAAAGAAATGTTATCGCAATTTCAGCCGAAAACACAGTCGGATAACTCGAAAGATTGCTCATGTTTAAAGAAGGAAAATACGCCTAGAATTATAACGACTGTCGGTGCGTTATGGCTCTGTATGACCCCTTAGGACATCTAGCACCGTTCCTAATCCATGGCAAGGTACTTATCCAAAACCTGTGGCGAAGCGGTGCTGATTGGGATGAACCAGTGGGAGATGCTGCCTACCATGTTGGGGAAGAATGCCACCCAACTTCACGTCTTCGTTGACGCAAGCGAGAACGCCTACTCATGCGTTGTTTATTTTCGGACGATTTCAAGACTAGAACTCCAGGGCTGTGCGCTGGGAACCCAATTGATGAAGTTTGTTCAAGACAACCACAATGTCCAAATCTCCAAGTAGTTTCTCTGGACAGATTCATCAACTGCTTTGTCGTGGATTTTGGCGGATCCGCACAACTACCGTCCTTACGTGCAGCATAGGGTCAGAGAGATCTTCGAATCTACGTATGCTGATGAGTGGAAATGGGTCCCGACGAAGATGAATCCTGCGAACGAAGCGACCAAGTGGGGAAGCGGACCTATTTCAACGCTCAAATTGATTCCATGGACCGGATTTTCTGCGGCTTTCAGAAGAATGGTCGCGTTCCGACAAACAGTGTCCACTACAAACGAGAAAAATTCAAACCTATAGTCGACTACGGCAGATTCTCTCGCTGGAAAAGGCTGCTCCGAATGATTGAACTCAAGATCAAATCAACAGAAATATTCTGGAAGCCCTCAACAGGATGAACTACGAGCAGCAACGGTTACAAGGGGAAAAAAGAATGATAGAGAAATCCAGCGTGCCTACACCAGTATTTTCTTGTAATTGACGGTCAAGAACAGCCGAATTAGAACATCAGACCATATTCCGTATGATACACTGTATCCAGTTATACACCCCAAGGATAACCCAATCACTCTGCTACATATTGATTGGTATCACCGCATGGCAACATGGAGACGGTTGTCAATGAGATCGGGATAGCGTACGACTGACGTATGCTATCCCGAAACTCCGTTCTGTGGTGAAGAAGGTTTCCCGCAACTGCTTTGTAAAATCCGCAAGTCGTTACCACAAGTTCTTCCTATGGAACCTATACCGGCAGTCAGATTCACCGGTCATGTTCGTCCCTTCAGATATGTAGGAGTGGAATTTTTCGGTTCGCTCCTTGTGAAGATTCAACTGCAAAAAATGTGTTGCTTTATTCATCTGTTTGACGGTGCGCGCCGTTCATTTGGAAATAGCGCACAGCTTGTCAACTGCATCATTTATCTCATGTGTAGGGGGAGGAGAGGCATAGTGAGCATCCCGCAGTTTGGTCCTGGATCTCTAGCTGCATGAAACGAATCAACTGGTAGTAGGTCCAATATTGTAATTGTAATTGTTCAGTGCATAGGCTGTGCCTTCCGCTAAGAAGGCTTATCTAGGGACCAACCCCCTAGTCTATACACCTACTGTCCTTCCCGTTGCACTCGTCAGCTCGTGCGATACTCTAGACACACATGGGTGGTCGTATCCGGGTCCTCCCCTGGGTAGGCTCGTGTCCGTCCAGGTTCTGGTACATTAACTTATCTATATGCATGGTAATTATACTTTAAAAACTCACCTTTTGATTATAATGTCGAAAATGCTGAAACTAAATAAAGGTTAGCGATCCATATAAGGTGTGTGCTGCGACGGAGTAGTAATTGAAGGAAATGAGGTTCTGATGTGAAGTATAGGTAATTCTAAAATAGGTAAATCAATTAATCATTAGCTGCTAACAGTTACTAATAAATGGGTACGATAAATCACTCATCAATGAGTATTGCCACTCCCACTGAAAAATGGGCAAAACCTTAATCATAAATGGATATTCGATTCCTACCGTGTATTTAAAGTAAAGTTAGGATCTTATCAAGCAAGCACATACCTTTTACGATTCTTATCCTACTTACGGTTTCCTGCACATACGACTTTTCCTAGATACAAGCTTCGTCCAGTATACATTGGCTGTCTCCAACCGGCATGATCCTTTCTGTCTGCTTCCTCTTGCCGGTGCAAGTTTAATTCTTCTTTTCTTGTTCAAATTTTCTTTTTCTCCTATTGATCTTCTGGTCGTGTTCCCATTTGTCCTCAGGCAGTTAATATTAGTACATGATAGGAAGAAAGAAAGAAATAGAACAAGTTAAGTGTGAGCCGCATGCATTGGTTACTTATTTGGGTCATGGTGTTGTCTTCCCTATTTATTTGCCTCTATTCGCTCTCATATCGCAACGTTTAACTCTGGATCAACAATAGAAAAGGGCCCATCAGCACTCGTAAACAAACCGCTCCAAAGCCCCCCACTCACAAAGCGAAGGCCACCCACGCAAACCAACACCATCATCGGATAGGGGAAACTTCCACCTACACGAAGATGGTGTTGGCCCGCGTGAGCAGCCCCCGATCCGTGAGGAACGGGCCCTGGACGGTCTGCCCACAAATGCCGATGGGCCCCCCTCCATTGTTGATCCAGAACTCACCCCCTTCCCTCACACTATTATGGTCGGAAAAGAGAACCCATATTTAGGAATCTATCGCGAACTGCGATGCAGAAGATATTAATAGCAAACTAATCTGGAACTGGTCTAAGACATATGACCCAGTGAGTATTGACACCTAACACTGTTGTGAATGAGCACGGACGCGAGATTTACTAGAGTATTAAATGCAAAACGCAAATTCAAAATAAAACTTGACAACACATCGTCAATCCCCTTATTCTTGAGCAGGGTCTGACGATATGAATCTGATTTTTGATCAGTGAACGGGCCCCATATGGTACATTTTCTCACTATGAACCTGTCATTTCCAGCCTATCTTCTGAACTATTTAATAAATGGAAACCATAACATGGGTTACGCTTCCCCTAAGCGGGCCCTCCGCATCCTATCTCTGTCTTATCTCAAATGCCAATGCTTTGAATGTATCAATATATACATTGGAAATGACGTTCAATCAAATAAACCCATACCCCACTCACTTGGCCAGGCTTCAGAATCGTCCAGTGGGCAGTGCGCTCTACACTCCAAGTTCCCTTTCTTTCAAATTCACCCCAAATTTGATATTTTGCCCTTTTGAGTGTTGATTAATCACAATGAAACATTGTGACAGAGCACGGACTTGAGGTTACTAGAGTATTAAATAATCTAGGTCCTATTTAGGATTATATCTGAAAAATCCAAATTTGGCCAACGCCCACCTAGTAGGTCCAATATTATTATGATATTGATCCTACTACCAACCAATATGTTCCGAACGGCCGGAAGTCCAAGCTGGTGCACGGGATGCTCACTATGCCCCTTTTACCCCTACGCAGTCAACCGTCGTGGAACACTTAATATGATTCTTTTCAGACAACGGAACTAATTTCCAGGGTGTCGAGCGAATTCTTAGAGATCAGATCGACCAGGGACTGTCTGCAACCTTCACCAACGACTCTACGAAGTGGACATTGACGCCCCGCACATGGGAGCGCCTCGTGCAGTCTGTCAAGGTAACGATGGGTCGATGGGTGCTGCATACCCTGACGGAGCATTGAATTAAGAAGGATTGCAAACGGTGGTGTCGGAAGCTGAGTTAATTCGAGACCTCTGACGTAGCTGCCTCTCGATTCTGAAAAATCGGACGCCCTTATCCTTACGCCCTTGCGGTAAACATCGATTATCAACCTGGATTGCACCGGGAAACGTAGTGGCAGATCCAGCGTCAGACCGAGTTTTCTGGCAGCGGTGGTATTCTAAGTATTCTTTTATCCAGCACTGCCAGCAAACATCTTCTTGATTACTTTTTCGAAGGGTCGTATCAGCTTTTGTAAACAATGTATTTGATCGTTGATTTGGTGTAACTGGTAGCTCGTCCACGTATCCTAACACTACCATCAGAAGGGAAAATTTTCTCCTACCTGATAGTAGTATTAGTTACGTCAAACCAACGATCAAATGCATTGTTTACAAAAGCTGATACGTTCCTTCGAAAAAGTAATAGAGACTTGCTGGTAATCCGTCGACAAGCAAAGTGGTTCACCGAAGTTCGTGCCATACGTGAAGGCGACCTGGTGTGAACTGCTGAAGATGGCGTTCGTAATGAATGGGTGAGAGGACGCGTGAATATAGTGATCCAGGATAAGGAAGCAAGCGTTAGTCAAATTTTTGTTAGGACGTCGAGTGGAATGCTACGGCAACCAGCGTCTAAGCTCGCTGTTTTGGATGTGGGTAACGAATCTAATGCAACCTTGGGAGACACCAAGATGCACCCGGGGGAGGATGTCGCCGTGGAAGCTGAATCGGCAACCCTGCCGAGTGTAGATCACCGACAAACCGACATGAAACTTAAACTTAACTCTTGATCGAGAATCCATAACGGCCGATTCAAATGTGCAGCGATCCCATCTGTCAAAACCATAGAAATGTTTTACCTAGATAAAAATAATTTGTCCGAAATAGATTGAACACGAACCAACTCATAAATTTTGTACGCGTGTTCGTGGCTAGGATACAGAATGAGTGTTTACGCTAATCGCCAGCAGTTGCACCACAGAGGTAACTTTAAGACCAGAAGGTCCCGAAGAAACGTGCTCAACTTTTTGGCTCAGCTCTGGTACTCACTTTGGTCCCAAGCTAATCGAAGTACCCCTCGAAATATAGGCAGATACACGAACTCCTCTTTTTATCTGTCAAACTGTCATAGCGAATCAAAACAAAAATAATGTAGTACTAGAATTTCGACTAGAATGGAGTACATTATTCGTTTGCTTGGGACCAATAGGCTAGTCAAGTAGTGAGCCAATTTAAAAT